AACAATTTAAATAGAAATAAGAAATGTACCTTTGGGAAGGCTATGCGTAGAGGATGTTGGAGGGATTACACTGAAAATAGGCAATTGAGCAGGCTCCCTTGAGTCTGGGAAGTTGAGTGAAGCACATTCAGAGAGTCTATGAAGTTATTACAAGTCACAGAAAGGTATGCAATTAAATTGTCTTCAACTTGTAGACAGGTGCAAAAGTAAATCCTCTTTTGCAACCCAGAACTCATTGTTCAGTATGAGTTTTGATACATACAAGACGGAACAGGATACCTAAAACAGACTCAAGTGATGGGTATTGAACAAAAAGATAGCTTCTGGAACTATAGAACTGGTAATTTAAAAGCATAAGTTGAGAAATGATCAGTTACATTGATTTAGTACTCTGAGTTCAATGTTCACATGAGACAAACATGGCTTCTTTTTTTAGGCTTTTATCTTTAAAAGTGTCTGGACTTTCCAAAAAGGTATTGACAACGATCAGTACTGTTCTAAGGTGTGATAAGCTTAGGAGTAAATGATTTGAACTTAATGCATATTTAGAGTGTGTCTGAAATTCAGAACCAGGCAGATCAATCTTCCCTGACGCCAAATACGTAATAGTCTTGAAGTAAATTGCTTGAGAAAATTGGATCCCAAAGATTACAGGGCTGACTGACAACTGTTGATTGACCAAAAATCATTGAAAGGGCTGCCTTGAAGATTATATGACTCAGACATTGGAGGAACTAATGGTTGATGGGCAATGGAAAGAATCAGAACATGTGTTAAATTCTTAAAAAGTTTATTGACTTAAATTATGTTACACAATAAAAAAAAACCCTACACTTTTTGTAGGAAAAAATAGTGTCTTCATAAGCAAAATATCCTTCTTCAGGAATTTTTATCTTGATATTTCTATGGTCTGTGAGGTCACAGGAAGTCAAAGTTATGGTGGTGGCTTAGAATTTCTTTTGTCTCTGTAATTTACAGGGCATTGCTACTGACGGGGCAGCAGAGATCTGCGGTAAGCTGTTCCATGGGGTGGGGGAGCGGTTAGAAATTATAAGGCCAGAGATCTAAAAGACTTTTAGACCCTCCCCTCCTAACTGGCAGACCTTTAAAGTAAACTAGCACAGGTATGTAACTAAGACATTGGATGAGAGGCAAATTTATAGTTCCTTTAGTGTTACTGCTCAGTCAAGGGGTAGGGACCACTCTGACCAGGAATTCCAAGACCGTGGATGTGTTGGATGGGTAGGAGGAGCTGACATTTGCTTCTGACCTGAGAGGCAGGGGTGTGTTGCAGAAAAGCCAGCAATGCTGGAAAGATGCAGCCCAAAAGGAGCTGTCATATTCAGGGAAGTCAGAGAGCAAGAACCAGTGTTAGTGACGCACAGTGTTAGCAGCGTGGCAGCAGTGATGTCAGTATCTGTGTCCATAACCCACCTAAACCTACATGAACTCATCTTCCTACAGGGGGCAGGTAAGTAGCAGAAATGTGCGGAGTGGGTGCAGCCACTGGCAAATTGGCAAGTGGACATCCTAATGAAACGCACTGCTCACAGTCACCATATTGGAAATAGGGCCTCACACTGTCAGATCTCCTTCTTATTCAAGAGAAGCCAGAAATTAAGAGTTTATTAGCAATCAA